CAGAAATCTAGATTATGAGATAAGAAAATGTCAAAAGCCCGAAAGCCGATTTCCTTAAATTAAATTGCAAGTCGTGGCCTAAATAATAAAACGCCGGGTATATTATATATTCGTATCGAGTTAAGCAACTGTGTCGGTGTTCGAATCCCGCAGTAGACATCTTTTTTTATCGAATTAAATACCTACTTAACTTATCTTCACGACTTCCGCAATGACACGGTCAAAACCAAACCTCCAAAAATTATAATTTGCGTAATTAGGCGGTAGAGCGTCTTGTGAGCCCGCAGGGGTAGGTACCTACTACCGCTCTGTCTGTTTCTACCTTAAACAGTAAGAAATGCATTACTTGGAAGGGTGCGGTAGACTTAGAAGGCGGTATTACGTTGTTGATGTCTAAGAACTTCGGTAAGCACTTAGCACCAGGTGGGCCGTGAGCTCGTCCACCAAATAAGCAATAAAAAAAAAGCACAAAGTAACGATACATCTGCTTATAGTGGACGGCAACTGAATTCTAACTAGCATTTATTATTGTAATACTTTTATATCATCACGATATAGCATGGCAATAGCTTCCTATTTTATGCTGTTTATTGATTGCTATTGATACTGGTCAACGTTCTCTTCAGGATCTTCTCAGTGGGTCGCGTTTCCGATCCGGCGGTAGATTCTGCAAAACACTGCTCTTGCTAGGGCCAGTGTTAGCAACACCTCTTGGTTTGAGCCCCGAGATCTCACCTACACGCTAGGGCAACGCTGATAGAGCCTCTCAAGGCTATCAGCATAGGTAGGACAATAAAAGAGTCAGCCCCGTAAGCTTACCTATCAGTCCTCGCGTAGTTGGAATACCTCCTTTAGTCTACCAACGAACGACCAAAAAAAACTATTGACAGGTAAATGTGAATAATATGTAGTACTTATCAACTTTATTCTTAGGCAACAGCGATATCAAAATAAGAATTTGACGTCCGTCAATTTTTTTTTGCGAATTTCCATTTCAGACTCGCTCTGTGAATTGCTCATTAAAACTTTTATGTTAGCTTAACTTACAGCATTACATTTTAATTTGTGATTTTTGGAATCGTACTAAGTGTTGTTAGGATACATAATAACTACAATTAATAAATTGCGTATTGAAAAAATAAGCAAACATACGCAAAACTATAAATGAAACTTATAGCGTGGCACCCATAAAAACGGGGATTAAAAATAAATCGCTCGAATAAATTGCACCTCTGAAATTAAAACACTCCCTCACACGCGACACGCGTACTTGCGCCGTCGTGTGGTGCTAGCGACGGGAGGAAGCGACAGCGGGAAGCGGAAATAAGATTATTCTACATTTTACAATACTATTGGGTTTTTTCTAGATCGATTGCGTCATTCCCTTTGTTACGTCCGCATGGTCCGTATTTTGGAACCATTTAGACTATAAGCTTTTATTTTTTTAGGTAATTTAATATAATAAAAATGTTATTTTATAAACATTATTAAATAGGCCTAGTCGNACTAACTACAATTAATAAAATGCGTATTGAAAAAATAAACAAACATACGCAAAACTATAAATGAAACTTATAGCGTGGCACCCATAAAAACGGGGATTAAAAATAAATCGCTCGAATAAATTGCACCTCTGAAATTAAAACACTCCCTCACACGCGACACGCGTACTTGCGCCGTCGTGTGGTGCTAGCGACGGGAGGAAGCGACAGCGGGAAGCGGAAATAAGATTATTCTACATTTTACAATACTATTGGGTTTTTTCTAGATCGATTGCGTCATTCCCTTTGTTACGTCCGCATGGTCCGTATTTTGGAACCATTTAGACTATAAGCTTTTATTTTTTTAGGTAATTTAATATAATAAAAATGTTATTTTATAAACATTATTAAATAGGCCTAGTCGCTGATGCCCATGTTCGGGTACTCATGTCTTCCTTAGGAGTTGCTCTGAAATATTTGAGGAGATTTGAACGAACAAAGCGCTGTCGAAGCGGATTTAATTTTCACTATCTGAAACAAATGCGCTCCCTTACAGTGTTTAGAAATTATTTTAATCACATATCGTCTCGCATAATGCTGTCAATTCCAATAAAAGGGTCATTATAAACCTTAGAACAATCTAAACAAGTTGTATGGAATTTACAATTTGATATATGTTTTAATAAAAATGTCTGTATCTACTTAAATTAAGATTTTTTCCTAAGCAATATGAATCTAAGTAGCATAATGCACATGCTAGTGATGTATAGATATAGACTCATAAATGCTGCACTCTTTAATTTATTACTTGGACCATCAGAGCTGCAGCACGCGGGGGTGTGGCCCATTGTCCATTGTTCTTTTAACAGCCGTCGCTTGTTAGCTGGTGGAGTGCCGCGCGATGCCAAGCGACTACCGAGAGGTGTGATTAATGATTTGTACACGGAAGTCTCGGTGTGAGACCGACACTTCACCGGGCCCGGTTAATTGGGAAACGGTGTAAATTACGAGATGTTTTCAGGTAATATTTGTTCGAGAGATCGCGGTTAAGCTGATTAAAACGAAATACTCTTCGATCAATAATATTGATCGAAGGAAATACTTGTCAAACTTGCCCCGACTTGTGGCCAGATTCATAAACCTGTTCTCGAAAAAAAAAAAAAAATATATACAATGAATCACTTATCCCTTTTCGACGCGTCTTTACCGAGAACAAAACTTCTGAAAATAAGTACGAATCGATCAGATTCTTCTGTGCTTTTCTGTTTCCAGATTTCGAAACACACGTCATTGTCATTAATCGAATCTGAATCTGACAATCGCAAACGTTGTTATCCGAAGAAGAAAAAAAATGCAAAAGAATAATTCGTCGATTTTCATTCCTTGCACGATCTTTGGAAATTAGATGAAAGCCCGAAAAAAAAAACGGGCTGACGGTCCAAAACAATACAAAAACCCACCCTTCAGGCCCTAATCAAGGATCGGCCCAGAATTCGCCCGCAAATTGCATCCAATTGTTCACTTTTTACCGCGAACCGTGTTTAGAAGGGGTGTATGAAAAAAGGAATTATCTAGTACGACCACGGCTGAGCAAGCCTGATCTAATGCACTCCTATTCATGTGTGTTGGCTTGTTAATAACGCGGAGGAATGGTTATAATTGGGTGAGCAGCCAACATGTTCGAGCCATCTGTAATTCGACGAACGATTCTACCGCAAAATGGACGCATTCAATTACAAATCGAATTAAATTTTATTGTGCAATAGTGTCGGTCAAATAATATTAAATTCTAAGATTTTTTTTAAATCATTATATAAATAATTGACAGTCTACAAAAACACTATAAAGTTTTAGGTTAGGTTAGGTTTTAGGTTATATTTGCGTCCTTTTCCCGCTTTTAAGAGTGGGGCAACCGTTGCTTAACAAAATTGCGACTTCAAACAAAAGCCTCCGTTCAACTCTTTACATCAGATAGACCGTGAACTCGATCATACATTTACGCAATAAACATAAAATGTTCGTCATTTCGGATCCTCCCAATCAACAAACGGTGCTCTTAGGTACCCCAAGCACCGGCCATCGTTCTCGTCGAACCTGTCGCTTGTGAGGAAGGGCTCGGCGAGTAAATTAACCCACAGACACAGCCCACTGAGTTGGTCACCCGATCTTCTCAGTGGGTCGCGTTTCCAGTGGTAGATTCTGCTAAGCACGGTTCTTGCTAGGGTTCGTGTTAGCGACGTCGTCCGGTTTGAGCCCCGTGAGCTCACTTACTAGTTAAGGTTACGCTGATATGATCTCTCTAGATCATCAGCTTAGGTAAGCAAAAAAAAGTTACCTAAAATAACTTTTTACTACCATGCTAGTTTGAGTTATCTTTGAGATAAGTTACACTGAAAAGTTTTTATTGCCTGTTAGTATCGCTAGAATCGAATAACTTCGTAGCAACTTAACTATGTATTTATCAAACGCACGATAAGTCGACAAGTTTGATTTCTACTTAAACGTATACTTGACTCTTATTTAATTATGTGCTTCTGTTAAATCTCTTGTTTATGCCTGTTCGTTGTTCGTTCGTTCTTGTTTATGCCTCTTGTTTATACCTGTCTTTAATGCTGTTCGTTAATTAGAAATCAACAAAGACATATATAAGGTCTTTTGTGTTGAAAATTCTTTACCGTTTGATTCTGAAGGCGTTTCAAAGGAACCTAACTGTTTCTGTTATAGTCATGAATCCTATATCTTCAGAGATTAGATAATGTTTTGTGGTTTCTCTTGTGGACCGCTAAACCCTTTTTTTTTTGTGACGATAGATACTTTTTAGATTTCGCAAAGAGGATTATTTTTTAGACGGTTTAAGTTTTTGTTATTAGTTTTTGTACGAAGCGACCGTATTGGCAAAGGATTGATGAAAAGATTCGAAGCCACTTTAAAGACGTTTGGAATTGAAAATTGCAGACATTATTTTTTCGGTACCTTCAGAATTTTAAGTGTTTTTTTTTTTAAATATAAAACATGGTTTTTATTAAAAGCCATTGTCATATGGGACGCGTTGCAAAATTACCACGGCTGTTTGTTGAAGAGTTCCTGTGCGGTATATTGACACATTTCCAAAATAATCCGGGTACTTTTAACACGTGTATACGTGTATTTAATGTTGTTGTTTTATGTTAACATAAAGACGTTTAATTAATATGAAAATGCACACACGCATCAAGGACCGATAACAAAACAATCATTTTATAACTTCGCTCTAATATCTTGACCAGCATGAACAGATAAAAAAGAATAAATTAACTCTTACTTCGGTTTGCTATTTCAGCGTATTTTTTGTTGTTTTTAAACTACATATTCATAAATGGATATGTAAGCACGGCCGCTGACCTTAAGTCTCGTAAAATCTTATTTATTTTGTCTTAGAACAGTAGGGACCAGAATGACCTCTTCAAGTCGGATCACGTGGTTATTGATAGTAAATAAGCAGGATTATAACATGTCCTAATCATAATGTGCTTGGCACAGATGAACTCATGCACAGCGCGGCTATGGGTGGTGGAGGCCTCTTCGGATGCTCATCGGCTGGTCACAGCGGCATCAATCAGCTGGGCGGGGTCTATGTCAATGGACGACCGTTGCCGGACTCAACGCGGCAAAAGATCGTGGAACTAGCCCACTCCGGAGCTAGACCCTGCGACATCAGCCGCATCCTGCAGGTCTCCAACGGCTGCGTCTCCAAAATACTAGGCAGGTCAGTATTATACACTTTAAGTACCTTAAAGTCAGCGAAAGGCCACTTTGAGGTCGTGAGCTCAATTGAAATAGAATAACGGCTCATGAGTTCACATTTAATTAATTTGCTATAGAAATAGACCAACCTGTGGCTGTCGTGTGGACCTGGAACAAATCCTTACAGCTATAAAAAAGGTAAAACTGGCATCACGATTGAAAGCGGTACAACTGATACCTTAGGTTTTTGCTTCCCTACCTATGCTGTAGCCTTGAGAGACTATATCAGCGTTGCCCTAGCGTGTAGGTGAGCTCTTGGGGCTCAAATCGGAGGCGTTGCAAACACTGGCCCTAGTAAGAGCAGTGTTTTACAGAATCTACCACCGGATCGGAAACGCGACTCACTGAGAAGATCCGGCAAGAAACTCAGTGGGCTGTGTCTATGGGCTAGTTTACTCGCCGGGCCCTTCGTCATAAGCAAAGGGTTCGGCGAGTACGATGACCAGTATTTGAGGTACCTAAATGCACCGTTAATGGATTGGGGCCTTAGGATTATGGCGTTCTCTTTTTATAAATATTTGGATCACTTTTGTGAAAGAAAATTAAACTCTAAGTTATATTACTAGTATTATGCAATAATTAATTATTAAATAATTTTTCGAGCCATCACAATCAACGGGCACGATTGGCTGAATCGGAAACTCAGTTAAATGAGAACTCACTTTTAGACTGACATTGACAATGAGAACAAACCAACTGAATTTTTGTCCTTAGAAATGTGTTTCATTATTACTAATGTACGCTCAATTATCGAAATACGACCATAATAACTGGAAACCTTAAGACAGAGATTCATTTTGTCTATCACCTTTTCCCTTTTGTTTTGTTTCAGACACGAATTTTCCGTATTTAAATATAGACTACGATTATTATTATCTAAGTTTTTATGTGCAATGGTAATATTAATATTAACATTAATTATTACCTATATAAATATTTATTGTATAGTGCTAACGGCCCACTTAGTGTTTATTTGTTATGGGAGTCTATAGACAACACAAAGTGATTGCCGTCACGCACTTTGTACATGAGGTCCTAGTTTCAATTATATTATCCGTCATATTAAGCTATTTAAAGTTGTGTTACAATATATTGAGATCAGGAGTAAATAGACGGATATTTTGTTTTAAAAACACTTTCAAACGTCTTTTTTGTATAGTTCCACTTAAATAAGATCCTTTTTAAAAAAAGTCGCTTTGAAATTTATAACTTAAAATCATGTACTACACATATCCCTATAGATCTCACTTTGATGAATATAACAAAACGTCAATAATGCAATCCGAGTTGAGCAGTATACTATGCGTCAAACGCGAATAAAGTTCACACAAAAACTATTGAAGTGAACGAAAGTCAAAGAATCTATTATATCTGGACTCCGTGTGGGCTCAAATTCTTGCGCCACGCGCTACCAAATTGACGGAATTCCCACAATGCCGCCCAAGGAACCGTACAATGGCCTCGACAATAAGCACAGCGGACAAAATTAAGAAAACATTTCAATTACTTAATCAATACAATAGTTCCGTTTTGCATTCCCTTAGTTTATTGTTTTTCATTGAACGATAGACGTGTGCACAACGGGGTCCTAGGTGGGAATCGACATCGGGTGCCGTCGGCTAGCCAAGGGGTGCCAGTTCCAATTTCGTCAGTTTTATTGTTCGATAGCGTTCGTATCTGCAGATCAAGGAGGATTTCGGCCCTCGCTTATATTAGATCGAGTGCTTATTTTAATGCTAAGCGCTTCGTTTAAGTGTAAATTCAGAACAAGTGTTTTCGTTGGAAATTTCGCAAGGGTTTTTGTAAATTAATATTTTAGCTTTTGCCCGCGACTGCGTGGAATAGTTACTTTGGCATAACGCTAAATTTTACCTCCCACTTCGTTTACGTAGAAGTGAAAATATTTTTGAATTACAGAATCTTAAGGGGTTTTACTGGTGGTAGGACTTCTTGTGGGTTCGCGCGGGTAGGTACCACCGCCCTGCCTATTTCTGCCGTGAGGCAGTGGTGCGTTTCGGTTTGAAGGGCAGAGCAGCCGTTGTAACTATACTGAGATCTTAGAACTTATATCTCAAGGAGGGTGGCGCATTTACTTTGTAAATGTCTATGGCCTCCAGTAACCACTTAACACCAGGTGGGCTGTGAGCTCGTCCAACCATCTAAGCAATAAAAAAATAAAAAAATAAGGAGCTATTTAAAACCCCTATTTTGAAACATTCTTTATTGATGCTCCACTTGTATTAGTTTTACCGTGATGTTAGCCTATAGCTTTCCTCAATAAATGGGCTAACACTGAAATATTTTTTTCAAATCGAACCAGTAGTTCCCGAGATTAGCGTGTTCAAACAAACAAACAAACTTTTCAGCTTTATTATATAATATTATATAATAATAGCTCTCGTTGTTTTTTAATGTAAGATACACCGTTTAGTGCTAAAAGTGCAATCAGAATATCAGAATCATCAATAAATCTATAATTTATAAATCTACAATGGTTTTTACGGATGTTCCGTTATAATTACTGAACCATGCATCCGATTGATTTGACACTTGGCATCCATGTAGACAATACATGTACTTAATGGATAGGCTAATATTTATATGAGTGTTGGACTCCCTAATAATAATAATGTTAATTTTAAATGCCCAGCGAAGCTGACGAGTACGGCTAGTAATTCATAAAATAATTTAATCACACAAAAGTTCGATAAACAAAACATCTAAAAATTTTGCGTAATAATAAAAAGAAATCAAAGAAACTAAATTCGTTTTTAATATAGGGTGTGCCTTACACGGTTATCCCACGACCGCCCCTAAATAAAAATGAAAATGACAACATTATTTTCTGGTAATTGGTGTTCCTACTGCGAGAAACCGCTTGACGCCACTCGAAGAGATCTTGTAGGAAAATAGATTTCGCTCGGGACTCGGGGAGAGCTATTATATAGCCGTACGTACACATGTTATTCTTCTGATTTTGACTGATGTTTTTTTTTAAATTGTTTTCATTGAAAACGTTTGGCTGAATCAGAAACTTAGTTAAACAAAAACCTACTTTAGGGCTTACATTGACAACGAGAACAGACCTACTGATTTTTGTCGTTAGAAATGTTTTTCATTATTACTAATGTACACTAAATTATCAAAATTTGACCATAAAGACTAAAACCTCAAGACTTAGATTCCTTTGGGTCACACATTTTTTTCATTTTGATTTGTTTTTCACTATATAAATATAGACTACGATTGTTATTGTGTAAGTTTTTATGTGTGATGGTAACATTAACTGTTTTTCGTATTAGTTCCTTAATTTCTTCTAGACAAACGGAACAAGACGTGTTATTCCCACGTGACCCCATTTTATATCATGCCAATTAGAAGCAAAGGGGTTTGTGTAGTATTCTTAAAGGTTTATGGAAAAGGGCAAACGGTAGGACTCCTAATTAAGGCGACGCCCCACTGTGACCGCCAGTGTTGTGTTAGACTGAGAATCTCGCAGTTTTGGAAATGCTTTTGAGGTCAGAGCGATCGACTTGATGAGATAAACGGATTGGAATCGCTACATTGTGGGCTACACAAATGCTGTTAACTATGGTAGCTATCAATTAGTATGGTATGATACGGTAGAAGTGCGTATAGGTATCACAGAAAGTGAAATTGAAAATAGACTTTAATTAATAATAATAATAAGTACGATAATTATCTGTAATACTGCATTTTTACCATGTCTACAATGCGTGAAAATTCGTTTTCGCTTTCTCTAGAAGTTGATTTTCTTTTTACGTAAAACATAACAAATTATTATGTATTCTTATTCCGAAAATACTATACTTCAGTTAGTAACGTTAAGAAACACAATTAAAATATGAATTATGTTAAATAACGTATTTAAATTAAGCAACAGTACATTTTGTACAAAATTAACTTTTAAACCATGTATTTGTATGTATAAGTACCTACAAACTCACGACTCTAAACACACCAGACTTGTTTGCAAAATAATTTCACCGCTAAATGCATTTCAGTAACAAACTTACTACTAAATAACCACTCGAAAAACAATCTAGATAAGCACCATTGAACGTTGGCCCCAAGCTGCTAAATTTGATCCAATCTTGGCAACTGACGCGACGTTTCGCTAAACGCTAACTCCATTGAATGAGCGATGCGAAAACAATTTCCATTTTGTCGTTGGGAACCGGTAATGAATGCAAACAATGTACTTAATAGCCGACCGTTATCGGTGATTTGTATCAGTCTATTGTTTGTTACAATCATTTGTCGGTTGGACGCCAATTTGTTTGCGAATTCGGTTTGATTGCGGCAACAATTAGATCGAAGAGAAATAGAATTTAATGTTCGAAACGCGATCCGTTGATCGGGAGCGTATTTCGATTTTATAAAGAACGTTCTAGAATCAAAATTTTAGCTTACGATATTAGATCTGTTTCTAGATTTCTCCTACGTATGCTCATAGTCTTGAGAGGCTATATCAGCCTTACCGAAGCGTGTAGGTCAGGTCTGGCCCTATCATGAGCAGTGATTCGCAGAATCTACAACCGGATCGGAAATGCGACCCACTGAGAAGATCCGGCGAGAAACTTAGTGGGCAAAATCAATATTTTATTTATTTCATATATTTTGTACACACAGCTGTTAGAAGAAACACGACATTAAGGATACAGAGTACAAGGGCACTACTTATTTCATGTTGAAATCTCTTCCAGGAGACCCGCAAAAGGAAAGAAGAATTAGGAACACAAACCTAGTGCATACAGTAAACATTACATATAATAATATATACATATTACAAGATACAGAACAATATATATACATACAAATACACACAAACACACACACACACACACACATATATATATTACATACACAAAAGTTAAATTTTCAAGTAAATAAAATTTTAGTTCTTCATGTATTGTATGTAATATTTAACGAACAAAATCAAATCAGCATCGAATGAGCTCCCACTCAATTAAGAGGCAGTCAACCTCCTGCCCGCCCTTTTTTCGGAAATCTGCCGCCCTGGGCGAAAGCGATTATGAAAGCCCTCCGGCGAGACAGTAGGGCTCTTACCGATAATAACCTTATAAATATAGACAGACACGCATTTGGTATTTGAAAATATGTAATAATATAAAAAAATACTAAAAAATAAAAAAAGTATTTTTGTTGTAATTCGTTCGATTGGGCGTATTTGAATGCTTTTTTTTTTATTGCCCTTGTAGGCAGACAAGCATACGGCCCACCTGATGGTGAGTGGTTACCGTCGTCCATACGATCCAATCCGTTCTTGTAACGTTGTATTGCATTACTATTATAAGATGAGTGGCGGTATTGACTTTGTGTCCAGCTGCGCTAACAGCTTACCATCAGGAAGACTGTGAGGTTGATGACGCGGTCCTCTCTGCAGACCGAGGGTAGTCAGTTCCATTCCCGCTCCTGGTAAGCATTTCTTTAATTGCTCAATATTTGGGAGTTAAATAACTCTATAGACGTGTTTGTATATTTAAACGAACATATGTGTAATGGCTGGTTGATTCCTATAGTCCAATTCCAGTTTGGAGTTAGACGACTGTCTGTAATTTCTCCCTGATTTATATCAATTAAGCTTGAAGTCTTGAACTAAGTGAAAATTATATTAAAACATTCTATTACATAAATGTATAGATAAGATGCTTTTTATTTTATTTTTATTGCCAGTGTAGGCAGACGAGCATACGGCCCACCTGATGGTGAGCGGTTACCATCGCCCATGGACTTCAGCAATGCCAGGGGCAGAGCCAAGCCGCTGCCTACCGTTAACTACTTTCCACAAGCCTCGTTTGAAGAAGGATATACATGTACAAACTTATTCATTTATATATTTTCTTTTGTCTTGAATTTATCCCGCAAAATGTCTCCAACTCCGGCCCTGTTCGCAAATACTCGACAATGCCTAAACAAACAAGTATCGACAGATGACAATCTTGATGTGATAGTGTTTATTTCGGTTTGACATCGCACAACGATCTATAACGGTTCGACTGCTAAACAAACAGCTTAGTACGTATTTATACCGACATTACTTAATATATAAATACAGTTGGTATTTATACTTAATATTAATAAAATAAAAAACCGTTGTTGCTAAAGGTTTTTGTTGTTATAACAATAAACTATTGTCTTGTGTTAAGGCATATATATACGTAGTTTAATTCGGAACGCGTTTTCCAGGATGAAGGGTTCAGCCGTGCTCAGGACGAGAAAGTTGAGTGGTAATGAGCCTATAGACTACGGAAGTCCATTGAGAAGTCATTATGACATGATATAGATATGATAGTCTTCTACTGGTGGTAGGACCTCTTGTAAGTACGCATGGGTAGGCACCACCACCCTGCCTATTTCAGCCGTGAAGCAGTAATGCGTTTCGGTTTGAAGGGCGAGGCAGCCGCTGTAACTATACTTGAGACCTTAGAACTGATATCTCAAGGTGGGTGGCGCATTTACGTCGTTAATGTCTATGGGTTCCAGTAACCACTTAACACCACGTGGGCTGTGAAGTCGTCCACCCATATAAGCAATAAAAAAAATATCGAAGTATCAAGTCTAACTGCGGTAACATACCAATAGCAACAGAGCGCAAGATTATTTTACAGCCGATTATTTCTTATTAAATACAAAATGGTAAACAGTTTTTTATTTATTTAGCGAACACGGATATAGCTAATCTAAGATCAGCACGTGCATTGTCCCGGGCACATGTTACTCGGACAATACGTTCCGTATCTGAAATCTGCATCGATTGTTACTACTCCAAATATCGACACATGTCAATCTCTCAATAGTTACCTCACATCCTGATCTAAAAGAAATTATTATTTTGTATCCTATTTCGAGTCAATAAAATCTAAATTTGCTTGTCTGATGTATACATGGAAATGTCACGAGTACCCTCTCGAACGTGTCCCGTCGATTGTCTCTTATCGTTCAGGTAATAAAGTCCACAATCGTAAATAAGCGGAAACGCATTCGGTAATATTTGTACAGGTACTCGAAGTAAGGGGATGCGCTGTGGATTACATTTTTGTAATTGTATTTTAATACTTTTCTAGTGGATGGGGTAGTTGGGGTTGAAATATGTTACTTAAGTGAGTTTTGTAGTTACACAAAAGATTTCAACAGGCTTCAAGATAAATTACTTACTTAAGTACCTATACCAAAACACTATATTTTTTTTATGAAAGAGGCATAGTTTACAGGTGGTAGGACCTCTTGTGAGTCCGCACTGGTAGATACCACCACCCGGCCTATTTCTGACGTGAAGCAGTGATGCGTTTCGGTTTGAAGGGTAGGGCAGCCGTTGTAACTATACCTACTTGAGACCTTAGAACTTATATCTTAAGGCGCATTTACGTTGTAGATGTGTATGGGCTCCAGTAACGACTTAACACCAGGTGGGCTGTGAGCGCGTCCACCCATATCTACAATAAAATAAAAAAAGCAACTGTATTGTTTTAATAATCGTTTTCAACACAACACCTGTGAACTTGTAGTGTCATTAGTTTTGTTCTCTACCTAATCGCTAGTGGCTAGGATATTCCAGCTTTTTCTCTATCTAATCTCTGCCTAGTGGCGAGGATATTCCAGCCACGCACGGTTTGATAGGTAAGCTCACGAGGCTCAGCTTGAGAGAAATTGCTAACACTGTCCTTAGCGAAAGCGGTGCTTCGTTGATTCTACCACCGGCTTAGAATCACGACCTACTGAGAAGATCGGTGAGAAACTCACTGTTTTAATTTTATTTTATACAAAAGTTTAGGTCTTTTATCTACCGATTGAGGCACTACGAAGTCTGCCGGGTCAGCTAGTACTTAATATTATAAAGGTGAAGAGTTTGTTTGTTTGAACGCGCTAATCTCAGGAACTACTGGTCCGATTTGAAAAATTATTTCAGTGTTAGATAGCCCATTTATTGAGGGAGGCTATAGGCTATATAACATCACGGTAAGACCAATACAAGTGGAGCACCAATAAAGAATGTTTCAAAATAGGGGTTGAAATAATAGCTCCTTAACATTCTATAATTCAATAATATTTTCACTTTCTACGTAAATGAAGTGGGGGGTAAAATTTAGCGTTATGCCAAAGTAACTATTCCACGCGGATGGAGTCGCGGACAAAAACTAGTTAATTATAAACCTTAAAGATATCAAAATTAAGACTAATTTTACGGATTACATAATCTAGCGATATTTATTTTTGTAGTATTACATTATTTCCGCTGTTTCGAATACTTTGACAGTTTTCGTGGTCACGGAAGACTGTAATTAAATTTTAACGTAGCTTAATCTCGTAAAAGTAAGTTGTTTTAATTAAGTCTACGCCTCGCGTAAACCGAAGGAATTACTTTAAAACTACGATACACAAACATATAATTTGTATTGACGCTCTTTATAAGCACGTTATCTCTATTAAGTTTTATATCTTATAGATCAGAGCTTGTTGCTTCTAACGTATTGATACTATAATAACCTACTATTACTTATTATTATATGCGACCGTTTTTAGAATCATACTAATCGCGTCAACGCTAATTGAATTGCAATTTGTTTATTTGCATTATTTCGATTGATTCGCTGGTGCTGTAATTAGCGCATCTGACTATTGCGCCGAGGGTCGTGGGTTCGATTCCCATATCGCGCAAACATTCGCGTGATGAACAGATTTTGAATTTGTTTGGTCTTTTTCTGGGTGTTTATTAACTATGCTTGTATACATTTAAACGAATATTATTATGTATGTCAGTTTCTGATACCCATAACACAGGAAATCCTAATTTAAGGGCGGATGATCATGTGTGATTTGTTCTGAGTTATTAAAAAAAAAAAAAACAGTAATTATTATTATTATTATTATTATTTGTACGCTCTCACCGCATTCCGCAATCCAAACTAAATTCAGCTTCACACGCAGATATTACGAGACGGGGTCGATAAAGCCACGCGCGATTGGTGGGTCCAAGCCCCGGGTGGCGACCACTCCAGTTGTCCAGAAGATAGCCGACTACAAGCGGGAGTGCCCCTCGATCTTCGCCTGGGAGATCAGGGACCGCCTGCTCAGCGAAAACGTGTGCAATAACGACAACATACCCAGTGTGAGTATGATTTTTTATTCCAAAACAATTAATGTTACTTTTAATAGCCAACCGAAGTAAGTTTTTTTATACACTTGATGCCGTGGTGAAGATCGAATCAGAGACATTCAATACACAGTATGAGAAACTGTACTCAAAATAGGCACTTTTTGAGCTTGCTAAGAACAGCAGAAAAGCCGTCTCCCAAACTGACTGAGTCTACAGAAATAAAAATTGCACTAATCCTTTTTTTTTTTATTGCTAAGTTGAGTGGACGAGCTCACAGCCCACCTGGTGTTAAGTGGTTACTAGAGCCCATAGACATCTACCACGTAAATGCGCCACCCACCTTGATATATAAGTTCTAAGGTCTCAATTATAGTTACAACGGCTGCCCCACCCTTCAAACCGAAACGCATTACTGCTTCACGGCAGAAATAGGCAGGGTGGTGGTACCTACCCGTGCGGACTCACAAGAGGTCCTACCACCAGTAATTACGCAAATTATAATTTTGCGGGTTCCATTTTTATTACACGATGTTATTCCTTCACCGTGGAAATCAATCGTGAACATTTGTTGAGTACGTATTTCATTAGAAAAATTGGTACCCGCCTGCGGGATTCGAACACCGGTGCATCGCTCAACACGAATGCACCGGACGTCTTATCCGTTAGGCCACGACGACTTCTATCTCTATAAATTTAAATACAGAATTGCCAACGTCAAAAAAATTCGAGTGTTGTCAACGTGTTTAATCAAATCTCCCGAACACGCGTCCGTTACGTGTATCTTTGGGCACAATATTGACAATGGTTATTTTTAATCCAATTTTTCAATATTCGGACCATATGTTCGGGTCATTGTCCGTTCGGGTCCCTTTCAAGAGGTCCACAATAGACGTCATTCGCCGAATTATCAATGTGCCATCCATGAAACTTACCTTTGCATTCAAAGCTCGCGCGTTTTATTGCGTTTTTGTGCATCCCTATACAAATACGTGTCTATTATTAAATTTTGTCGAGAGTTCATAAATTGCATTGCTAATAATCCATCGTAAAAATAAGATTTATTGGTGTGAGAGTTATTTTTTTTTCTTTCGTCTCGCGTTCCTCTATGGAAAATGGGACATTTTTACTGGGCAAACAAAAGCTGAAACTATTTTTGTGCTTCATTATACTGATGAATGAGCTAGCAGCTCGAGACGAGACATCACAACGCCAGCCACTTTGCGTTACGAGATCAAAATTTCAATCGTAATGCGTAAAAGCTCATTAGCTTAGCGGCAGAAAGATGTGGAAATGTGGGCGCTTCCCGTCCAGGCTCGCAATACTCTCGCTTACCAGTAATTACTCAAATTTACGTGTATTTAATAAAAAACAACAAACTGACAAAAATAAAACCTAAATCATTTCGTTTGCTAGTACTACTTTTTACCTAACTTCGTCTATCATCTCAAAGTTGAACATTTCCCACTGAGCACTTCGAATTTTAATCCCTTGCAATGTTTAATATAAAAAAAAATCCACTTCAATATGAAATATCGAACACGATATGAAATGAAGCAATGTCAACATGACACCGGAGTGACATCTGCCCGGCCAATGATAGCAAAAAATGACAATACCCGAAAAACGGGGAGTTTCTCTAATACTGCACGATTTATTTCAAATACTGTACAATTTCTGTTTTAATAATGTCACAATGTGTGTTTTTGTGTGTTTCTGTATTCGTACCGTAATGTAAACACTCAGCGAGATGTCGAGTGTTGCTAATAATTTATTATTTAATTTTTGCTATTCGATATTGTAACATCTGTTTATTTATTAGTTTTTAATTATGATTTTTGGAGTTCGTAATTTTTATCCTCGCACCGGATTTTTATAGATCGTAAGGCATATATATTATGAGCTCGCAGGATTAAGTACCACCGTTTTTTTCTATTTATTGCCGCGAAGGATAATGGAGCTTTCAATATTTTAAATCAGTTATCGACGAAATTCAACTTCAAGATATTTGACTTCAATTGCTTTCGTAGTCCTTAAATTAGAGACGTAACTTCCATTTCAAGTAAAATATGCATATGTCTGCCTATAAGGCCTAAATTAGATAAGCACGCGTCAAGAACGGAAGTAAATCATGCTAAAGCGATCGAGTATACCTAAACACAATCACATAGTCTACCCCTCGTAACGAGAGGACTTCGGTACCCCCAGAAGATTCGGCACCAAAGGGCTATTTTTATGACTAACACGGCCCACTGCCCAAATAGGGTGAACGGTACATATAATGCGTTAACACACGTGCCCGAGCGAGATAGGTGTTTTCTGTCGAACCCGTAGTCTAGTCATAACGGTCGAATGGGCGTGATGTTTCTTACGAAAGGAAAGCGCACAAAAATACGCGCGACAATCGATTGTTGCTCCGAACGAAAATGACGTAAGCGTCAAAACATCAGCGCTCCTACAATTTTGTCGTTATAATTTTCCGTAGAAATTTAGAGGATTCAGCTTTACATTATGACGTAGACTTTGTGTATTTTTAACATTTATTCATTAGCATAAACATTTAAATAACAAACGCGAGGTTGAATCATAAAAGTAGTATTAATTATAGAGTACACTATCGTGTAGAAAAAAAGGAGCTTTCTTGTTCGAAACTTACGTCATTTTTCCACGGACCCCCCGGTTCTATAATACCACAATTTACGCGTGAGTGCTCCGAATATTTGCCGTCACTTTCACTCGCCCACCATCCTGTACTTGAACGTATAACTGTCCTTCTCTGACGGATTAGCGTCTGCTTTTGACGGCTTACACGGACGGTTGTAAATCTTCAGCTATTTATAACATAGATATTGTTATTACCGAAATGAATTTATAGCATTCGCCTTCAGATCGCATCAGATAGCAGATACGAACATTTCACTACTGCAACGACTTACTAATTATACAATGTATAATACAGGACAAAGAATCCATTATATTTGTACTACAACGAGTTTTTTAGGGATCCTCTAACTTTTTTAGCATTTTTTTGCTATTTAATGGTTGTAGGGCGTCAATTTATGATCACCCGGGTATGTACCATTACCCGGCTTATTTTATGCCACAAACCACTATTATTTCCGGTTTCAAGGATGGGAGCGCCTTATAGAATACTCAACTTAAACTTAAATCTCAAGGTGGATGGTGACATTCACGTGGGTTCATCAACATTCGAAGCAACAATAAAAATATACCTAAGACGAAGCCAGGTTAACGAGGCAACAAAATTAGTGCGAACAAGAACACTTGAATATTTTATATATTTTTAACTTATGTGGGGAAAAGCGAACAATACGTTACAAATAGTAAAAGTATATAATTAACATAAAGGACAGAAAAAAGACCAACTACGGGAACAGATAGCCCCGTATCTATACGTATAAACGTAAACTTCAAATTTTTTTTCTATTGCCCTTGTAGGCAGACGAGCATACGGCCCACCTGATGGTGAGTGGTTACTATCGCCCATGGACTTCAGCAATGCCAGGGGCAGAGCCAAGCCGCTGCCTACCGTTTAATACCGTTTAATGAAATAAAATTAAAATTATGAAGACTTCTTAACGAATATGTTCAAATACAAATAAAAATGAACGAATAACATCGTGTGTGTGATCAAATCCGCAACTTTTCCCTAATTGTTGATAGTATTTCATATTGCCGGTAACACCACCCATCAATGCAACCCGCCTTCAAACTTTTAGCTCATCTTTCAAAGTCGTTAGTAGCGTTGACGATGACGTCTCATTCGATAAAATTCGAACCACTTAATACTAAGGGCACAAGAGTTTATTTGCTCACAAGAAAAAAAACCCTAAACAATTGACAGTGATATCAACCAATAAAATATTTAAATAAGCGATACAATACGGGCACATAACTCTCAGACACAGCCCACTGAGTTTCTCGCCGGATCTTCTCAGTGGGTCGCGTTTGTGATCCGGTGGTACATTCTGCGAAGCACGGCTCTTGCTAGGGTTCGTGTTAGCATCGTCGTCAGGTTTGAGCCCCGTGAGCTCACCTACTAGTTACGGCTACGCTGGAATAGCCTCTCTAGGCTACCAGATTAGGTAGGAAAAAAAAAAAAACGGGCACATACAATAAATAGTTTATATATATATATTTAACAGTCTTAATTGTAAAAAACGGTGTGATATTATAAAGGATGTAACATGATCATCTTAAGCAGTTCCTCAAAGCAGAATGCGAGTATGTTTTTTTATCAAATTTAGGATGTTTTGAATATCCTCTTCTTCTTCACAGCGTTTTCCCGGTCTAGTGCCAAAGTCACCTTTCCTACTTAATTTTTATTTATTTTATTGCTTAGATGGATGGACGAACTCACAGCTCATCTGGTGTTAAGTGGTCACTGGAGCCCATATACATCTACAACGTAAATGCGCCACCCACCTTGAGATATAGGTAAGCTCTAAGGTCTCAAGTATAGTTACAACGACTGCCCCGTCCTTCAAACCGAAACGCATTACTGCTTCACGGCAGAAATAGGCAGGGTGGTCGTACCTACCCGTGCGGACTCACTAAAGGTCTTACCACCAGTAAACTTCCTTCACTTCCTTCACTTTGTCCGGTCTTCGGCATCCTTCTGCGCAGGCTATTCTCCTCCATATCCGCCTTTACCACATCCAATCAGCGTTTCTTGGGCCCGCCGCGGGATCTTGCTTTGAGGAATGTATTACAGGATAATTTATTTTGCATTTAAACGATTTTTAGTAAATCGTCCTAATTCAGTTTATGAAGACAGATATATTTTTAATTCTAAAGTGAGGGCCATCGTTATCTCTATATATAAAAATGAATTGCTGTTCGTTAGTCTCGCTAAAACTCGAGAACGGCTGGACCGATTTGGCTAATTTTGGTCTTGAACTATTTGTGGAAGTCCAGAGAAGGTTTAAAATGTAGATAAATATGAAAATTCCCGGAATTAAATAAAAATAACAATTTTGTTTTCCTTTTGATGT